TTTTTTATGTACTTCTGCCAGCCACTGAGCTCCCTTCCTTCTAATCTTTTCATTGATCAGAAGGGATGCATCCCTTCTACAGCTTAGAAAGGTTGCCCATTTTCTTTCAACATCATCTGTCGGTTGACCCCGCTGCTTAGCATGTCTGTGTTCCCTAGAGGCTTCCTGATGTTTTGCTATGGCTCTCTTAACTTCCTTATCCCACCATCAGCTACAAGTCCCGCCATCCCATCATCAGCTACATCATCCCATCATCAGCTACAAGTCCCGCCATCTAGTGAGCACTGAAAGAACTAAACGAGAGGTGGCTACATGCAGGAGACGGAGCCGCAAGAATTAAACGAGAAGAGGCGACTTACAGGAGACGGTACCACCATCTAGTGGACACTGCAAGAACTAAACGAGAGGTGGCTACATACAGGCTACAGGGGACGCACAGCCCACGCCCTAAGGAGCTTCGCCCCTAAAAACTGTACGACGTACAAAACGTCTTGCATGACGACGCGCGCCGTACACACAACCAAGGGATGAATGCGTTGCGCGCAAGCCGCGGACAGCACCATGCCACTGAGAGATGTGCTCACTTTCTTCAGTTTCCTACAAAATTTTGCGTTCATCACAGAAACGGCAGCCCCGGTATCAATTAACGCTAATGTGGCGACTCCCTCAACATCGACATCAACAACATTTTGCGGTGAATATGGAGGCATTGGCAATTGCGCACAAGTTGCAGTTCTTGCCTCCAGAACTGCACTGATTAGTTTCCCTCCTCAGGAGGAGGTCTTCGACGACGCATAGGCGATGGCGATCGGTGACGAGGTGATGGGAAACGAGCAGTCGATGGGCGGCGATCCGAGTCGGAGTGCCTCTGTTCATATGCAGACGTGGTGGTCTGCTGCGGTGCGTAGGTAGGAGTTCCGAAGTATGCGTGCGCAGGTGTGGGACGGCGGTGACAGAAGCGTGCAATGTGGCCAGCGATGCCACACGCGAAGCAGATAGGGCGATTGTCTCAGGTGTGCCACTCAATAGATGGACGGAAAAACTGAGGTGGGGGCCTGCAAACTAGAGGCGAGGCCGGAGGAGGTGGAGCCGATAAGGCGACTGGATGCGGCGGGGGCCGCACGACCACAGCTGCGTAGCAGAGAGGTGAAGGCGGTGCAGTTGGTGCGTAGCTGGCAGTTGAGAGATCAGATGGCACCGAAGTGCATGGGTAAGGGGCCGGAACTGTAGGGAGGGCATCGCAAATTTCAGTGCGTATGTCCTGCTGCAGTGTCGAAGGGAGACTTGTGGTGGGCGCGTCGCTATGGGGCAGCAAGGAGAGCTGTCGGGTGACTTCCTCCCTGATGAAGTCTTTAATCTGGTTCGACAGAGTTCCTTGGCGAACGTTGCCATTTGCGAGTGCGACGGCCGAGATCGAATCTGGTGATGGGACACTCTGTCGGGCGATGAAACGCTGACGACGAAATTCATCGAAGCTCTGGCACAGGCTTACGAGGACGGCCACCGTTGTCAGGCTTTTCGCCAGCAACATCTGAAATGCGTCAACCTCGATGCCCTTGAGAATCTGTCGAATTTTCTCTTCTTCAGGAATGGATGAGTTAACATGCCTGCAGAGGTCGAGCACATCCTCGATATAACTAGTAAACGTCTCGCCAGGCTGCTGGGCTCGGTGGCGCAGACGCTGGTCAGCGCGGAGCTTGCGGACCTGTGGTCGGCCGAACGCTTCGGTCACGAGGGTCTTAAAGGTGGACCAGTTGGGGATGGCGGTTTCGCGGTTGGTAAACCATAGCTTAGCGACATCAGCCAAGTAAAAGATAACATAGGCAAGCTTAGAGTCGTTGTCCCATTTGTTGCTGGCACTTACGCCTTCATACAAGGAGAGGCAGTCTTCGACGTCTTGTTCACCACTGCCACTGAAGATTGGTGGGTCCCGCTGACGGGTAGCGCCGGGGCAGGTCGACGGGGCAGCCGATTGTGCTGGCTGTGCTGGGATGGGCTGGTTGGCGACGCCGTCAGTCATGTTGTACGGTGGTCTTTCGGCCAAATTGCGAGAGCGGAGCTCCAGGTCTGCTTAGGAATCTCCGCAGCCTCCACCAAATGCGATCATGTTTATTCGAACAGAGGAGTCGCAACGAGGTCGCGACGGAAAAGTAGGCGAACGGTAAGTCTGGCAAAGGCGGCACAGGTTCTCGCGCAATCAGAGCACGGGGTTTTTCGTTCTCTTTGGAAGGAGCATACGCATTAGTGCGTATGCTCCACTACACAAGTCCCGACTTCTGGCATCTCGCATGCTCTGTGGTACATATCCGCTTTACGCGTCCATCTATCTGTCGGTCCGTCTGCTAATATGTCTGTCCATCCGTTCATGCGTCCGTCAGTATGTCCATCTAGTGATTACTCCAAGTTCCGCCGTCTCGCATCTCACATAACCTGTGGCAGATATCCGCTTTACGCGTCCATCTATCCGTTCGTCTATCTGCTAGTCTGTCTGTGCGTCCGTCCAGGCGTCCATCTTGTGTACACTCCAAGTACCACCAACACGCATCTCGCCTCCCCTGTAGCACATACCCACTTTACGCGTCCATCTATCAATCCATCTATCAATCTACCATCCTCACTTCTCTCGCAGCAATGGGCATTGGTGGACGAATGTTTCATTGGATAAAAGATTATATAACTGGCAGGTGTTTCTTTGTGCAAACATGAGGGTACAACTACTGAACATTACACCTACTGCGGAGTACCTCAGAGAGGTGTTTTAAGCCCCTCATTGTTCAATGTTGCCCTCATTGGTCTGGTGAAGGTTCTGCCAAAGTCGGTGTGCCTATCCATATACGCCGATGATATTTGCCTCTGGAGTGCTGCAGTTACTCGCCCTCAGGTGCGTGCACAAATACAGCGGGCAGCAACCCTCACAACAGCCTACCTTCAGAAACAAGGCCTAACTATATCAACTGTGAAGTGCGCGTTGACGGCGTTTACACGCAAACCAATGACGCCATCCCCTGTTTACATCAATGGACAGAGTGTCAAATATGCACGAACGCATCGTTCCCTGAGCATAATAATCGACAGAAGTTTTTCGTGGAGCCCGAATTGTGCGTACTTGAAGAAGAGACTGCTATCTATTGTGCATATAATGAAATTCATGTGCGGAAAAGCATGAGAACTTCTGTGGCCTCCATGCTACAGCTGTACAGAACCCTATTTCTGGCTCATTGCGCCACAGCTTGCCGGTACTGACTAACACTTGCAAATCCAATACTCAGTCATTGGAGAGTTTTCAGGGTCAGGCACTGCGTATCTGCCTAGGACTGCCCCGATGCGCTTCTACTTATGCCACAATCATGCTTGCCAAATACCATCCGGTCAGGACATATAGAGTTGTGGATTGCCTCAGAGCGCACATTCGACATGCTAGCCGTGTCTCCGACCACCACTTGGCCCTTCTACCCTCCAGAAGACCACGTGCTACGTTTTCAGACGTCATAGCCAAGCACCTAAACAGCATTCCATCTGGATATACGCCAGCTGCGAGAATGGCATGTCCTTTGTGGTACCTCGACCAGCCGCAAGTACGTCTAGAAATTCCGGGAATCAAAAAGAAAAGCAATCACTCCAGAGTAGCATTGAAGCAAGCAACACTGCTATTATTACATGAGTTGTACTTAGACCGAACGCAGATATACACTGATGGGTCCGTCTCGTCCAGCAGCTCATAAGGTGCCGCTGTAATTCCGGCTGCAGCAATGACAATCAAGTTTAAGTTGTCGCATATGACTACATCTACTGCATCAGAGCTTGCTGCTATAAGGGCTGCTTTACATTTTCTCGTTCAAGAACGTCCAGGAAAATGGGTCATATTCTGTGATTCGAAGGCAGCGCTTCAGAGTTTGCAGTCTGCCATACGTAGGAGGAGTCATGAACAATTGGTACAAGAAATAAGACATTGCCATCTTGAAGCTCTAGCACGAGGGCACGATATTATATATCAATGGCTGCCTGGACATATCGGTATTACCGGAAATCAATTAGCCGATGATGCAGCCCGCTCAGCCCATGAAGGAACCCGTGTAGTCCCGATTCCTCTATCAAGGAATGATGCAGTGTTACGCTTCATTTTACGCGAACCCCTTTGGGCCCAAATGCAAGACCACGGACAGCGTGCGAACGCTCCCGGGCCTGTAAACGTATCGGGGGTAGAGGCGCAGAAGTGTATGCCCAGACGCCGAGGAACCTGAGACGCTGCTGCCGCGAAGGTCGTCATGTGCTGTGCGCGAGAACGCGGTGAGCTCGTGACTCATTCGCACCTGGCTCTTGAGTGTGGGAACGCCGGTGGTGTGATCCGTGGCGCGATCAGTCGCGTGATCGGTGGCGTGACCAGTGGCGTGGTAGGGGGTGCGAACACAAGGTGTTCCATATTTGGTCATGTCTGGAGGCGCCTGACGTCACACAAGCGTCTGGAACCCTTTAAAAACGCGCAGGGAGAGACTGGGTGAAGCAGTCTGGATTGAGACTCTGCCGGAACTCTGCTCCTCGGCTTCTTACCTTTGTTTGTAAACTTGAATGTCCACTTTGGTCTAACTATGTAGTATTAAACTCTTTTGATTTGCTGTTCTGCGCCGTCTCGCCGGTACTTCCCTTCTCGTCGGTCCTGATGCAAGTTACGAGCACAACCTGCTGACGGCGGCGGTCAAGAGACGCCCGTAACAACTGGTGGCAGCGGTGGGATGTTGCAGTCATTTCGACGACTCGAGGGCTGAGCTGCGACACGGATCCACGAGCCGTCTCGTCTGCCAGGCCGCAACCAGATGCAGTGTTTGCGAGGGTCTACGCGGAATTCTTGGCTGTTGAGTGGTGAGTGCGGGGCTTTGTCTGCTGAGTTTTGCCAGGATTTTTCAGTGGGGAAGCGTAACTGGTAATTCGAACTATTGTTGTCGCCAAAGTGGGCTGCGGCAAGATAGTTGTGTACAGTAGGAAAGGTCGCACTGAACACAGCCATGAATTTGAAGTTGCTGCGTAAAGCTGAGTTATTACAGCTTGCAAAGGAGTTGCGTTTGGATGTTTCTGACGCACTCCGGAAACCAGAATTGATCGAGGCTATTAGTGCTCTGGAGGCTGAGGAAGATGAGCTGACGGAATGCCTTGAGATAATTCGAGAAAGGGAAGCCGCAAAAAGACAGACAGAGGAGCGTAGAGAACAGCAAGAGAAAGAGCGTGAGGAAAGGGAGCTCGAATTAAAACGACTCGAGTTTCAACGTTCGAGAGAGCGCGAGGAACGCGATCACGCGCTCGAGTTAAAGCGACTCGAGGTTGAAATAGAGCGCGTGCGAACGGCAGGGCAGAGAAGCGAGGCAAACAGTGCAGGGGTGCACATATCGCTCAAAATGACAGAACTAATTCGCCCTTATAAACTCGGAGAGGACATTGGGTTGTTCTTGGTGAACTTTGAGCGGACGTGTGAGAAGCAGGGGTTCTCCCGTGAGTCGTGGCCACAGCGCTTGCTCACACTCTTACCTGGCGAGGCAGCAGAAGTAATCGCTCGTTTATCCACTGAGGAGGTCGACGATTACGATAAAGTAAAATCCAGTTTGCTTAGGAAGTACAGGCTGTCCGCGGAGGCATTCCGGCGGAAATTCCGTGAATTGGAGAAAGGAAGGAGTGAGTCATACACTGAATTTGCCTATAAACTGAAGTCAAACATGGTGGAATGGCTAAAGGAGGAGAAGGCCTTCGGTGACCATGCAAAGGTTATTGAGTGTTTTTTACTAGAGCAATTCTACAACCGGTTACCAGAGAACATTAGGCATTGGGTACAAGACAGGCCAGATGTTAGCTCTGTAGCCAGAGCCGCAGAGCTAGCAGAGGAATTCGTCACACGTCGGGCTCGCGAAGGCAGTGACAGTGGTCGAAAAGGGGGTCCCGATTTTGGGTTCAAGCCAAAGAGAGGGCCTGTGAAAACGAAGGAAGAGCCTGAAATTGGGAATGCCCGAACCGTAAATACGTCGGAGTCGGAACGGAACACCGAACCTGCGTTAGAACAGCAAAGGAAGCTAGAAGCGAGGAAACCGTTCCTTTGCTATAACTGCCATAAACCCGGTCACATTGCGGCGCACTGTAAGAAACCAAAAGTTGTGTTTCTATCCATCAGTGGTAGGGACGAGAATATCAAGCTTCTCGAACCTTACATGCGCGACCTTGAAGTGAACGGGAAGCCATGCCGCGTACTGCGCGATTCTGCGGCTACGATGGACGTAGTTCACAGCTCGTACGTTGAACCGCAAATGTTCACGGGTGAGTGTGCTTGGATCAAGCAGGCTGTAGAGTCGTGTAGTGCATGCCTTCCCGTCGCAAAGGTAACTATCAAAGGCCCTTTCGGCACGCTCGAGACGGAAGCTGCCGTGTCGCCGGCACTCCCTCCGCAATACCCTTACCTGTTTTCGAATAGATCTGACAAGATGCTGCGCGAGAGAGGGCAGCTGTTTGGGGAGGCAAATGTGATGGCGCTAACGCGTTCGAAAGCACGGGAACTCGCTGCGAAGGCAGTTGCCGAGTCCCCTTTAGCTGAAATCGGCCTGACGCAGGACTCCCCAGCAGAGGTCGAACTTACGCCAGTGTTACAACAGCAGGGGGTCCCATCCGTGGAGGATGAAGCTACGGCACGGGCACCATCAGAAATATTGGAAGAGCATTCCAGAGATTTACTTGTAGCGCCTACGTCGGAAAGCTTACAGCGACTGTTAATGGTAGACAGCATGGCCTTGAGGAACCAACAAGATAAAGACCCGAGCTTGCGAAACATCCAGAGCAGGGTACATGAAAAGATAGCCCCGAAAAACATAAGTTATTATGAGAAGGATGGCATACTGTACAGGAAGTATGTTGACAAAAGGGGTGTAATGTTTGATCAGCTGGTCGTGCCTCAAGCTTATCGAGAGGATTTACTGCGCTTGTCGCATGGAAGTTCTTGGGCAGGTCATTTAGGCGTCAAGAAAACGAAGAGACGGTTCTTGCAGGAGTATTATTGGCCAGGCTGTTTCCGCGACGCAGAGCGATTTGTAAGGACATGCGACACGTGTCAGCGTGTAGGTAAGCCGGGTGACAAGTCGAGGGCGCCGATGAAGCTGGTGCCTATCATCACAAAGCCGTTTCGGCGGCTCGTAGTGGACACTGTAGGCCCACTGCCGGCGACATCGTCAGGGTACCGCCACGTGCTGACCGCGATATGCCCAGCGACTAAGTTCCCCGAAGCGGTTCCACTTAAAGAACTTAGCTCTGTGGAAATAGTTAACGCGCTCCTGTCCATATTCGCACGAGTTGGTTTTCCCGCCGAAATACAGTCGGATCAAGGCTCTGTGTTTACTAGTGCTCTTACCACTACGTTTTTGGAAAGGTGCGGAGTAAAACTAATTCATAGTTCAGTCTACCACCCTCAGTCTAACTCCGTGGAGAAGCTCCACTCCGTTCTGAAGCGAGTGTTGAGGGCGTTATGCTACGAAAGGAAGACGGACTGGGAGCTATGTTTGCCGGCTACCATGTTCGCGTTAAGGACTGCCCCGCATGAAGCAACGGGGTTTTCACCAGCCGAGCTCGTGTACGGCCGCTCGTTGCGATCTCCTCTTCGCTTGCTTCGAGAATCGTGGGAAGGCCGAGCCGAAGACCCAGTAGTGGTCGAGTACGTTTTGAAGCTACTGGAGCGTTTAAGAAGCGCTCAACGGCTATCAGAGCAAGCCATGGCTAAAGCGCAACATAGGTCAAAGGTGTACTATGACCGCACAGTTAGAACCCGTCGATTCGATGTCGGGGACAAAGTAATGATACTGCGACCGTCGCAGAAAAACAAGTTAGAAGTGCAGTGGGAAGGTCCCGCCAACGTAGTTGAAAAGCTTTCTGACACAAACTACGTGATACGCCTGCCCGGAAAGTGAAAGATACAGCAAGTGTATCATTGCAATCTGCTCAAGCCATACCGAGAACGGGAGGCAGTGGTATGCATAATGGTGAACATCCCCGAGGAGATTCCAGTTGAACTTCCAGGGCTTGCATCAGTCATAAACGGTGAGGATGGTGAACCACTAATCAAAGAATGAATATCGAAAGCGCAGTTAGAGCCGGAGCAAAAGATCGAGCTCCAGGATCTTCTGACAGAATTTCAGGACTTATTTGTAGATAGGCCTGGAAGAACCTCGGTTGTTACTCATGACATCGAGCTGACATCCTCAGAACCCGTGCGTAGCAAAGCTTACCGAGTGTCACCGCGCCAACGAGAGATTATGGATTCCGAGGTGAAGAAGATGTTGGAATTAGGCGTGATCGAGCCTTGTGAGAGCGATTACACTTCGCCCTTAATCTTAGTTGAGGTGCCGGGAAAAGATCCACGCCCTTGCGTGGATTATCGCAAGCTAAACTCGATCACTAAAGATAAGATTTACCCGATACCAAACATTGAAGAGCGCATTGAGAGGGTTAGTGGAGCTCGATATATTTCCACGCTGGATCTCGTTCGAGGCTACTGGCAGGTTCCTCTCACCGAAAGGGCTAGCAGATATGCAGCGTTCATATCGCCGTTGGGAACGTTCCGCCCTAAGGTATTAAGCTTCGGTTTGAAAAATGCACCATACTGTTTTTCAAGCCTTATGGACAAGGTGTTACGAGGACTAGGGGAATTCGCTTTACCCTACTTAGACGATGTGGCGATATATTCGTCCTCTTGGTCGGAACACATGCAACATCTGCGAGTGGTTCTAACGCGTTTGCGTGAAGCAGGACTAACTGTGAAGGCACCTAAATGCCAACTCGCTCAAGCTGAGGTGATCTACCTAGGTCACATAATCGGACAAGGACGCCTCCGACCTTCTGAGCTCAAGGTGGCTGCCATACGCGATTTCCCGCAACCACGCTCAAAGACAGATATCCGCTCATTTCTGGGGGTTGCAGGTTACTATCAACGTTACATCCCGAGATATTCGGAATTAGCTAGCGCTTTAACTGACGCGCTCCGGAAAACTGAGCCACAAACTGTCATCTGGGATGACCGTAAAGAGGAGGCTTTCAAAGCATTAAAAGCCGCCTTAACAGGTCAACCTGTGCTGAAATCACCTGATTATTCGAAAGAGTTCATAGTTCAGTGTGATGCTAGTGAGCGAGGCATGGGAGTAGTGTTGTGCCAACGAGGAGAGGACGGTGAACACCCAGTTCTTTATGCCAGTCGTAAGCTGACTGTGCGAGGACAAGCGTGTAGCGCAACCGAGAAAGAATGTGCGTGTCTCGTATGGGCAGTGCAAAAGTTGTCGTGCTACCTTGCAGGCTCGAGGTTCATAATAGAGACAGACCCCTGTTCTCTCAGATGGCTGCAGTCCACTTCTTCCAAAAATGGTCGCCTCCTGCGCTGGAGCCTCGTTTTGCAGCAGTATTCATACGAAATACGGTACAAAAAGGGGAGTCTCAATCGCAATGCCGATGGCTTAAGCCGAAGCCCCTAGGTCATGAATTGGCCTCGATTGTTTTTCTTCCTGACATAGGTTTTTGTGTTAACATTTCTTCCGTAGTTTTGGAAGACCTGTGCGTCGTTAGGTGGGCAACGAAATTAGGGGTGTGTTTAGTACTTTGTACGAGTAATAAGATTGAGACTTTTGTATTTAAGGTAAGCCTGGCGGGGCTCAGTGGATACGTGTCTCGCGCTTGCTTCTTCAGTGGCTTTGTTATCCTGTGTTTTCCCGTGGATTGTTTGTTCAGTCGACCGGCTTTACCATGGCGAGGATCTTGCTCTCCCAGAGAGAGGACTTCGTTGTCATCTGGCATCTCTTCGGACACCACGTCGGTTCCAAACTCTTGGAAGGAACGCCGGAAGAACCTGTGGTTTCCCTTCTTGCTGATGAAAGACCTGAAGCGGTGGGGTGTGATGATCTCACCACCCGGAGCTGCCTGGCGACCAGCCCCACAGACGAGCCCCTGCGGGGTCGCCCCGGAAAGGAGCTCATACCATTGTCTTTGGCCACTTTTGACTGTCGCCATTTGCTGGATTCCATTGTATGGTTCGCCTCCAGCCTCCGGCAAACCTCGACAACATCAGGGAAATCTGGCGGAACTACCTTACGAGACGGAACAGGGCCGGGAGCCAGGTATCACGTACCGTGCTCCAGGTTAAGAAGGCTACGAGCTTCGACGACTGATCCCTGTTGACAGTGGATGCTGTCCTCTGCCATTCGGGATCTCCATCCGCGAGGGGGCAGTCTGTTACGCTTCATTTTACGCGAACCCCTTTGGGCCCAAATGCAAGACCACGGACAGCGTGCGAACGCTCCCGGGCCTGTAAACGTATCGGGGGTAGAGGCGCAGAAGTGTATGCCCAGACGCCGAGGAACCTGAGACGCTGCTGCCGCGAAGGTCGTCATGTGCTGTGCGCGAGAACGCGGTGAGCTCGTGGCTCATTCGCACCTGGCTCTTGAGTGTGGGAACGCCGGTGGTGTGATCCGTGGCGCGATCAGTCGCGTGATCGGTGGCGTGACCAGTGGCGTGGTAGGTGGTGCGAACACAAGGTGTTCCATATTTGGTCATGTCTGGAGGCGCCTGACGTCACACAAGCCTCTGGAACCCTTTAAAAACGCGCAGGGAGAGACTGGGTGAAGCAGTCTGGATTGAGACTCTGCCGGAACTCTGCTCCTCGGCTTCTTACCTTTGTTTGTAAACTTGAATGTCCACTTTGGTCTAACTATGTAGACCAAAGTGGACATTCTTTTGGTCTACATTATTAAACTCTTTTGATTTGCTGTTCTGCGCCGTCTCGCCGGTACTTCCCTTCTCGTCGGTCCTGATGCAAGTTACGAGCACAACCTGCTGACGGTGGCGGTCAAGAGACGCCCGTAACAGCAGCAAGACAACTTTACCTGCTGGCTCGAGATCTCACACGCACGTTCTGGTCGTCTACCAGCTTCCAAAGGTGTCAATTTTATGAACTGGATCCTTCGCTCAAGCTAAAACTACCATCACAACTTTCCCGCTCCGATGCGACAGAGTTATGCCGCCTTTGGTTGGGTGTTGCATTTACAAAGGTGTACTCCTTCCGCATTGGTATGGCAGACACTCCTACATGCGACCACTGTGGAGCTGTAAAGACCATCGAACACGTCCTGTGCAGCTGCGCTAGCTACGACACACAGCGATGCCAGCTCCGGATGGTTTTGAATCAACTTGACCCGGACCATTTTGTGTGCAGAAGATACTAGGACCTTGGGCATCTGCCTCAGTTGCGCAAAAAGCAACTAAAGCACTGCTAATTTACCTAAAGTCAACAAACCTGAGCGACCGCCTGTAGACTGTGTGTGCTCCCCGAGTGTGCTCGTGATTGTGTGTACCTTCTCATCTCTCTGCAACTTCTTCTCCCCTTTATCTCTTCCCCAGTGCAGGGTAGCAAACCGGATGTGCGTCTGGTTAACCTCCCTGCCTTTCCTTGCATCTTTATCTCTCTCTCTCTCTATCAATCCGTCCGTGTGCTAGTCTGTCTGTCTATTCATCCATGCGTCCATCCATGCGTCCACCTAGTGAACACTCCAAGTACCGCCATCTCGCATACCCTATCGCACATACGTGGTTTACACGTCCGTCTATCTTTCCGTCCGTCTGCTAGTCTGTCTGTCCATCCGTCAGTAAGCC